TGTATATTTTTGCTTTGACAATATGCAGAACTGTCTGGTATTTTTAGAGTTAATGCAGAGGAGAAAAGGTTAAAGGGAAAGAGAGAGGAAGGAAACCTTTGACCTTCATACTAATTGGATAACATGATATGTGACAGCTAATTTGGGGGAGGGAACATGCTGATAATTTAATTGATCATGGAAAGAGAATTTAGATTTTGGCAAACCTTCTGTTATGCCTGTATAATTACTTTTAGGAAAATCAATGCCTGAAAGTTCTTTGAAGTGTTTCATTAGCCGGAACCATAACAAAGTCATTGCTGTACCTATATTATACTCTTGACCATTTGATGGCTGTTTATTTATTGCAAAGTGATTTGTGGCTATCAAGAAGTGCTGGTTTATTTTATTGTATGTCTCGGGGGGGGGGGGGGCACTAGTGCCTCCCCTCCACCAGTTGGAGATGTGACACAAAATTGGACAGATCCCTCTTAGGATCTTGGAAAAGCTAATTTCTTCAATCAAGGACAAAGTTTGTTTTAACGCATGCAATTTTCATTAAGAATGTATGCTTAAATTGTTCAAATGAGTTAGCTTATATATTTATTTGCAAAATTAAAGTTTACAACTATATATTAGATTCATAATATCAGTTCACAGTATTTGATATCCAATAATTTCTTATAATGACTTTTGCAAAATTGAGACTACAGTCCTATAGCCTGGCTTTATAGTTCAATATTATCATGTAAATATGACCATTCATAACTATTTAAGGTAAAGTTTTCCCTGTCCACTCATGTCCGACTCTAGGTTGCTCATATCAGTTTCTTGGCAGAGGGAGGCAGCCAAGTCAAAAGATATTTTTTGTGGTCATGGCTATATCACAAAGGTGCACAGAATGCTGTTAGCCTCTCACTAAAGATGGTGGTACCTATTAATCTACTAAATTTGCATGCTTTTAAACTGCTAGGTGGGCAGGAGCTGGGCCAGGAACAGGAGCTCACCCCATTGCACGGTGTTTGGGTCTTGAACCCGGATTGTCAGTTTTTCAACTGACAAGCTCAGCGCCTTTAACTGCTGAGCTATTATACCCCCATAACTATTTACACATATACAATACATATCAACTACAGTACATACACTAAAGCATGAATATTATTGTTCCATGCCTATATCTATCTATCCTGGTGGCAGAATGATTAAAGTGCAGTACTGCAGGCAAACTCTGCCCACAGCCTGAAGTTTGATCCTGATGGGGCTCAAGGTTTACTCAGCCTTCCATCCTTCTGAGGTCAGTAAAATGAGGACCAGATTGTTGGGGGGAATATGCAAACAATGTTTCTACGTTGTAAACCACCCAGAAAGTGCTGTAAAGTGTTATGGAGTAGTAAACCTAAATGCTACTGCTATTGCTATCCTACAAAACCTTTTAAATTGGTCAGTTCACACACCAAATGAATGCCACTAATTCTGATTTAATACCAGTGTTGCTTTGAAACAGTTTTTATCTTGAAATGATTAAAGATCAAGACAAAATGTAAGAAGATAAGGAACTTGAGAAGATAAAGGAACTTTAGTATTCATTCAACCAAACTAAAATTGAAATATGCAGCATAAAATTAACTTTTACATTCAATAAATGCAAGAAATACTTGCATGAATTTTTCAATTTACAGCTCTCCATGTGTTGAATTATAATCTCCATCAACCCCCATAACTTTGCTAAAGCAAAATTCTTTTACATTCTGCACCTCCATACAAGTTTGTCCCCAAATATCAGCAAAACATAAACTTTGTATTTGGATGATCCACTTTAACTCACATTTAACTCATAGTTATATCTAGTAAAGTGGGGAAAAGATTCTCAAATGAAATATTGCTAGTTCACAGCATATCAGTAGGCTTAGGATTAGGGTTAGTAGAAATGATTTGAGTATGAGACTGAATTATAATGATAAAAACTATGTTTAAGTAAGCAAGTCAACTCAAAATTGTTTATATATGCTAAATAATGGTACATCTAGATATATTTTTAAAATATATCCCAGAATTATGTACAATAAATATAGTGTACAAAATATAAATCTAAAGAAATATCTGATATAAATGTTCATTATGTGAATATTATTAATGCACAGAGTGAATTAACTTGTATTCTTTTCATCATCCTTAATAAGGAATATAAAATAAAATGGACCTAAATGTGCCATAAACTGGAACATTGAGAAGTACTTCTTAGAAGTACATTCTAGAGCACAAGCATCATTACTTTATTACATCTGTTCCAATCCTGTTTGTTTGTTGTTGTTTTTTTGCAAAGCAGATTGTGTAGTCATGGATCAAAATTGTCAATGAAGTTAATCTTCAGCAGCATTAAAATGTATCTGTGTAGCTCAAACTGACCCTGCCTGATCCAGGGAAATATTTTTGCCAGCAATTTCAAAGTTATGATCTTATGTATGAGTCTCTAATCAAGAACTACATTCTAGGGCAGGAGTGGCCAACTATGTCCCCTTATGACAGTGGTTCTCAACCTGTGGGACCCCATTTGGGGTCAAACGACCATTTCACGGGGGTCGCCAAACAAGGCTGTCCACCATTTTTTCCCCTTTTCTTTGGCCACGTCCCTGGCACCTGGTGATGTATAAGTGGTTGGGGGTCACCACAACATGGGGAACTGTATTATGGGGTCACGGCACTAGAAAGGTTGAGAACCACTGCCTTATGACCTATTGAACCATGCTGACTCAGGAATTCTGGGAGTTGAAGTCCAAAGGTGATAAAGGGACCATAGTTGTCCACCTCTGTTTTAGGGGATATTTGTGTTAGGAAATGTCTCAGTGATTCTGTATATTATTTTTATAGACTGCATCTGGCTTCACTCTTCTTCACCAGTTTTTATCTGCTCTGTTATTATTCCGAACTCCCTTAGACACTAAGCAAGTTGAGAATACAATAATCATGTGCCTTCCAGGAGAATGGACACTACAAAGAAATGTGAATGGGATAAGGGTCTTTATGTGGCTTATCAACATGTGGACAACTGGCTTTAAGTCATCTGATTTATATATTCTTTACTGTAATGAGCTATATTCATCGTTAAATGAGAATAATATCTGAATTTTCATCTTCATATATAAATTTGCATTAAAATGGTTTATGAAAATCCTCATATTTTCTTTCTTTCTTTTATGGTACACAGTCATGTGGACAACATATTCACTATTATAGAAATAATACTTTTAAGTACAACAATATACATATATATATAGATGTATAACTTATGTACACTGTAACAATATGTCAGCCCTCCCAGGTAAATCAGATGGGAAACATGAACTAGTTATTTACTGAAGGCTACATTAACAAAATCTTCCCATCACCTCTATTAACTGCTTGATCCCTTAGGGCGGGTCCTTCCTAAATTTCATCCTTTCATTGCCTTTCTTGTCTGATTCTTTCCTGGGTAGCATTTCTTTCCTCTAGGTCAGTGTTTCCCAAACTTGACAATTTTAAGGCATGTGGACTTCAACTCCCAGAATTCCACAGCCAGCACACTGGCTGTGGAATTCTGGGAGTTGAAGTCCACATGCCTTAAAATTGTCAAGTTTGGGAAACACTGCTCTAGGTGCTTGACACATTCCATTGCAAAATGCAAGTGGCCTTGATCTCATGGCAGAACTGGACATCCTGGTTCATGTGGGGGATTTTTAAAAACTTGCAACGACTCCATTCACTTCAGTTCTAGCACAAGAAAAAGTTTGAATTCTTTGAGGAAACTGATTTGAGTTTAATCATCTGTGAGCAAAATCTCTTTCCATAAAGATCAATAGGGCGTCTAAGGTTCTGGACATTCACTGAGATGCTAAGTAAAAGCATTGTGTTTCCAGAGTAAATACATACTTACTATCAACCAGTATCATCATTATTTCTAGAACCACAAATATTTGCAATATGATTGATTTTCAGTTTCCATGAACTGGGGGAAAATATTTTATTTCTTAAGTGTACTAATTTGCAGATAGTCACTGAAAATCTCTTTGACTCAGCCCAGAAATATCCTTGAGAAAATAATAATATTCTGTTATCTTGAAAGGCATTCAAGATCACTGTTCTATGCAATATGTATGAAATCATCATCATCATCATCATCATCATCATCATCATCATCATCTTCAATAAAATTCACTGACAGCAGAATGGTGGTTCTTATATTTTATTTCCTGGTTTATATTGTAAAGAATTTAGAGACAGTGGAAAGTTCAGAATTAATTATGCATAATTTGTTCTACGTATATGTCAAGAAGAGAGCATGCTGTGCCATTTTTCTGGCATAAGATTTTATTTGTTTGATATAGATTCAGTTTTGTTTTCTGTAGGAATTTCCCTCTATTTTATCCAGGTAATAGGAATTTTGTTAGGTAGGTTGTTTTGAGAGACAGTAGCTATCCCAAAGCCATCAACATAAAGACAGATTTTAACTTAGCACTTCTGAACAGTATATCTGTGACTTAGTTTTCAATCCCCACAAAATATTTTCTCTTTGATTAAAAACACATGCTATTGTTCTATATATAATAGCACAGTATTATTATCCTGCAAGTTACCAGCTTCCTTACATAATCTCACAATTGCCAATTCAACCATTTATATTCAAGACATCATGCTTATTGTACAAGGTTAAAAGGTGATGTAAATCTATGGCAAAATACAAGGCAGTTTCAGCTTCTCATAACTGGAAAAGGAAGAGATTTGATGGGAAAAAGTATATTCAGATATAAGAGGACAGATATCTTATTTGATCTTATAAATGAACCTATACTTCAATATTGTCAACAAGAGCAAGATTTTTTAAAATGCTACTTCAGATATCATATGCATATGATATTTTTGCCATTTCATAATATATGCCACTACTCAGATAGACATGAGACAGGGAGACTTATGCTACAAATCCACATTATAATTTCTCTGCTAAAGAAATTACACAATTTGTCTCCTAAAGGATTTACACTTACCGATAAATTAGAACTTCATCATCAGAGCAGTTGTATTGTAGCTGGTACATTTTAACTCTTGGAGCTGACTTGCTTACTGTCCATTTGACTAAAGCTGAAGTAGTTGTCACCTCAGAAACTGAGACTGCCCTATCTGGAGGCCCCTTGTTTTCTCCTCGATTAGACTTGCTGGAACTTGTGATGTCAGAAAGTCTTGATTTAGGAGGGGCTGTCCGGCCTGTACCATTGCTGAGATGTGGAAGCTGGACAATGGATAACTCAACTGTTGCAGTAGATTCTCCAGCAGCATTTGCTGCTATGCATGTAAACATTCCAAAATCCTTAGAGGTTGTGATAAGGATTTCCAAAGTGCCATTGTCATAAACTACTGTTCTTGAAGAATTGCCCATAAGTCGATCATCTGGTGCCACCCAGTGAATGATGGGAGATGGATCTCCAATAGCTTTGCATTTTAAAGTGGCAGTTTGTCCTTCTAAAACTAACAATTTGTGAGTATGCTGAGTAATCAGAGGGGGCTCACAAACAAATTCCTCCTCCCGGACATACCAAAAATATCTTCCCTTTAAACCTGGAGGAGAAGCACAAGTTTCCATATCATCATCCCTGTCCAGACGCCGTAGCCACAGTAGCTCGCAGTTACAATGCAAAGGGTTTCCTCCAAAGCTTAGAGATAAAGGTGGGGAAAATGGAGTTGTAGTTAATGGAGATATTTGAGACCTGGCAAAAATGGGATCAGGAGGAAGCTTCTGAAGTCTGTTGGAAGTTAGATCCAACCTGGCTAGTTTCTGAAGATCAGCAAAGGTGCCCTCTGTGATATAATCTATCAAATTATGATCCAAACTAATCTGGTGCAAATTTATCATCTTCATGATGGATTCCCAAGGGATGCTTCTGAGGTTATTATAAGAAAGATCCAGATCTTCTAAGGTAAATAGAAAGTCTTCAAAAGCTTCATCTGAAATATAATTTAGTTGGTTGTTGTTTAGAATCAAGTGCTGAAGGTTAATCAAGCCCCTCAAAATATCCTCCCCAATGTCAGGCAACCTATTACTGTCTAAATGCAAAGATCGTAGGCTTTCTAAATCAATGAAAGAATAGGGCTGAATGTAACTGATGGTATTCCTAGACAATGTGAGGTCAACAAGGCCAGTCATGTTAGCAAAGTCCAGTCTGCTGATGTTAATAATAAAGTTGCCCCCAAGTCGGAGTTCAACAGTCCTCCTGTCTATGTCTAGTGGTACAAAAAGAAGTCCCTTTGAAGGGCAGAGAGTTCCCAGTGACTCAGACAGATTTTGACAAACACAGTATTTTGGACAGGCGTTGACTGCAACAACCACTCCAAACACCAGGATGCTGCAGAACAGTTTTTCCATGGTAAATCAACGATGGGGCCTGCAAGAATGAGAAACAGTTTAGAGAATTGCTTTCTCTCCCCCCCCCCCTCTCTCTCTCACACACACACACACCCTAAAGTGACCCATTTTAAAATCTAGTGGCATCTGAAGTGTTGTTTTACCAAGCAAGATATGACACATGCATTTAAGCAATACCTCTAAGCATACTCAGAATTATGCCTTGTGGCTGTTTTTCTGGGTACTGTTGTTGGTACTTTTAGAAAAGATTAAATCTGCTGCTTTTTTTTTTTTGTACATTGACACAAATGGCATCTCTTTTATTCTGAGAGCTATTTCTTATTTAGCTAATCATGAAATACTATTTCAGCTGTAAAGTGTAAACTTTTTTTTTTTTTTTTGAGGAAAAACCTTATACTATTTTAATTCCTTTTGCAAACATCTCTGGGTTAGGAAAAAGCCCAGAAGTCATTTGATGGTTCACTTGCAGTTTGTTCCAAACTCCAAGCAGACCTGGAGCAAATTTAAGACCAAGACAGAAACCACAATAAAAATATCAACAACATACACACAAAACATGAACTCTCTCTCCCCAAATGTATTGGCATCAGGAAATGTTTATTTAAATGCCTTCCATTACATATGAAAGGAGAGAAGTTTTTTTGTGATTGTGGGATGCCCTTAAATTCTGAAGTTAAAAAATCATGCTGAGTAGGAAATTGGTGCAAAGAAGACAGAGCTGCATCAAACATGTTGAGGTGATCAGAATGTTTTTTTTTTTCATATTTGGGTGGAAGAGGAGATTTGTAACCTTTTTTAAAGGACAATTGTAGCACTTAAGTTATAGTTTTGGAGTGTTCCAAATCTTCATATGATGGAAACTGTGTCATCAAATATCATCACTTGTGGTAAGAATGATCTTTAAGAGCCAATATGGAAGGATTAGGAGAGGAGGATGAAAGGTGATTTGATGGACCCTGACTTTCATTTTCAAACAACTTTCTTCAAACATATGCTGGCCAGTAATTATAAAACCCAAAAGGGTATTAGATTAGGAAAGTTACTTTAGCATATAGATTTGGTTCTTTCAGTCACTAAGTGCTGTCCATTACACACATCTTTGCTTCAACAGCTGAATGGCTTCTATGCATTTAGTCCTATGCATTTATTTATTAGCAATATCAGCAACAGCAATAGCACTTAAACTTATCTATTACTTCATAGTGCTTTACAGCCCGCTGTAAGTAGTATACAGAGTCAGCATATTGCCACCAACAATCTGGCTCCTCATTTTGCTAACCTCAGAAGGATGAATTAGCCTGCAATACTGCATTGTAACCACTGCACCATCACGGTTCTTAATTGGCCATCTTTCCTTAGTTCCAAAGGATACTGGGTGGTATACAGCTAAAAAAAACATCAGCTGTACAGATATATTTTGTATAGGTAGACAGTTCAGACTATAAAAAATAATAATAACACTATGTGACAATAGCCATGAAATTAAATAATGAATGTATAGATAAGAAAAAAAGGATTTATTTTCCTCTCTTGATATGCTAATACTCTGCAGAAGTCAGTTAAAACAAGAAAAGGTCATATAACAAGAAGGGTAGTATAAACTTCTTTATGTTTGAGATAATTAGTTTTATGATGAAGGATTCAGCACTAGTATAAATCTAGAAATAGACTATCTCAGAACAAACTAGACTTTTTCAGAAATGTTGATTTTTTTTTCAAAAATCACCTCTTAGCAATATACAGCATATAAATAGTAAGCTTTTGCTTTTTCTGCATTTGAATCTGAATTAAGAATTTGCTTAGACCAGTCTTTTAGATTTGTTGCACATTTCCAGAATAGGACAGTTCACAGCCACAAATCAATGCAATGCAACACAACACAACTTCCCTTCTTATATATCATGATGCAACCTATGAAGAGGCAATATCCTAGAAATGTTTATACTGTAAGAATTTTTATGCTCACAATTGTTTAGATTTTGGAGGAGGAGGAGGAAGAGGAGGAGGAAGAGGAGGAGGAGGAGGAGGAGGAGGAGGAGGCGGAAACTCTTGGAATACTACATCCAGTTTTGGTCACCACAATGTAAAAAAGATGTTGAGACTGTAGAAGGAAATCAGAGAAGAGCAACAAAGATGATCAGGGGACTGGAGGCTAAAACCAGTGGTGGGATTCAAATATGTGAACAACTGGTTCTCTGTGTGGATGCCACTTCCGGAAGTCCATTCTGGGCCTGGGCAACAAAAACATAGCTACCACTTCTGCTGAAGTTGTGCGAACCAGCTGAATCCCACCACTGGCTAAAACATATAAGGAACTGTTGCTGGAATTGGGTATGTCTAATGAAGAGAAGGACGAAGGGTGACATGATACAGTGTTCCAATATTTCAGGGTCTGCCACAAAGAAGAGAGAGTCAAGCTATTCTCCAAAGCATCTGAAGGCAGGACAAGAAGCAACAGATGGAAACTAACCAAAGAGAGAAGCAACCTAGAACTAAGGAGAATTTTTCTGACAGTTAGAACAATTAATCAGTGGAACAACCTGCCTCTAGAAGCTGTGAATCTCCAACACTGGAAGTTTTTAAGAAGAGACTGGACAGCCATTTGTCTGAAATGGTATAGGGTTTTCTGCCTGAGCAGAGGGTTGGACTAGATGATCTCACAGATCCCTTCCAATATTATTATTATTATGAAGAAGAAGAAGAAGAAGAAGAAGAAGAAGAAGAAGAAGAAGAAGAAGAAGAAGAAGAAGAAGAAGAAGAAGAAGAAGAAGAAGAAGAAGAAGAAGATCTCATTATGTTCAACCAAGCAAATAAATAGAGGACAATTCAAGCATATGTTTAGCTTCTCTTATAAACTAGAATCCTGTGGCTTTCTAACCATGCTGTTTATGCAAATCTCTATTACAGTTAGCAAAGCTTTGAGCTTTGTATTTATCCATTAGTAACAGACAGTGGGCTTTTGGAATCTTAAATTGGAATTATATTCTGCAGCTTTAATTTAGTGTGCTATCCTAGAAGCTGCAATTATAAACAAACAGACAACAAAGGCTTTAAAAAACAGTCTGAGAATGAGATTGATACAATTAATTTGCAACGAGCAGAGATTTCTTTACCTACTCCTTCCCCTATTGCCTAGCCCAAATTTGATTTTTTTTCAAGGTTTTTGTGTCATATGGTTTCTCCTTTTAGTGTGTTCTATTTCCCCAATTACCATTTGGGGAGATGCTGTTATGTTTCACTGCACTCCTGAGAGCAAGTTGACATCAAGAAGCATAATTGAGCAGAAGCAATTGAACATAGTTTTGGGAGATAGGTAACAATATCAAACAAAGGACAACTTAAGTTATGTTTATAACTTCCAATACCTAGGAATTAAGTTTTCCAGGTGTATGTATGAAAGAGAAAGAAAGGGTCTGTGTATTATAAAAGTTGCATAAATAAGAGTGGTGCCTTCTGTTGTCTCTTTGTGCTCATGATGCCAATCACTCTATCCCAGAGAAAAACTTCAAGTGGATTTTGTTGAGTGGGAGATTAAATATGTGGAACTCTTTCAGACCACACTGCCACTTTGAGGCTTCTAAAGTACTAAAGTTCCAACTCTATACTTCTAAGTAAAATACACTTTCTACATATGTAAACTATAAAGGGATTGAATATATCCTTTCACCTCTCTACAATTCTATGAGATATATTGAAAACAAATGCACCCAATCCCAAGAACAGGAAACAGAGCATGGGCGGGAGGGACTAAAAAGAAACATGAGCAGTGCCACCTGAAACATCTCCATCATTCAATCAAAAGAGAGCTGGAAGGGACCTTGGAGGTCTTCTAGTCCAGCCGTCTGCTCAAGCACGAGCCACTATATCATTTCAGACAAGTGGTTATCCGGTCTCTTCTTAAAAATCTCAAGTGATGGAGCACCCATGATTTCTGAAGGCAAGCTGTTCCACTGGTTAATTGTCCTCAATGTCAGGAAGTTTCTCCTTAATTCTAGGTTGCTTCTCTCTTTGATCAGTTTCCAACTATTGTTTCTTGTCCTGTGCTTTAATTTTCCTCTTCCTTTCTTTTCTCTGCAAATAGTTTTAGAGTCCCAATTAAATAAATATTTGTAATCCAAATAGTTCAAAAAAGATTTTTTTTTCCTGAAATTTATAATTCTCTCTTTGTCTATGGCCCAGATTATTGTCTTTTTTTGTCACAGCTGTTTTTTGTTGTTAAACCTTTGAAGGTCACAGACATAAATTAGCTTTTCCTAGATTTTGCCAAGTCTAATATTAAAGTCTTCATCCGCCACTAGGTGTCAGCAACTATTTGTTTTTCAATTTCCAAAATGAACAATTATCTTTAAAACGAGAGTCCTAACCATTCAAACAATTTTAGATTTATCCAGATTTGAGTTTTAAGTTTCAAGTTTTATATTTATTTTGCTTCTATAAAAAGATTAATTCACTGCTTCTGTTAGTATAAGGGTGGGGCAAAAATCCCCCTCCTTCCCTTTCGGAGGTATTTTGCTTTTTGGGGATCTTTTCCAGGAAATTAAATGTAAAAGAGAAAAGAGAAGATCAAATTCCTCATTCAGTTTCAAGCACGCTGTTCACAATTGTGCTGGTTAGTGCTTTTAGACTTCAGTTGTTAGTAGCTTGGGCTGGTCGATGCAATACGGCCAGCCTTTCTCCTGTCAGGTTAGAAGGCTTTTCCCAAGTCAAATGGAATGGCCACCACCGTTTCAGAATCGCTGGAACACCCTTCTTTCTTCGTCACCTCTCCGGGGTGACTTAGACCCATTTAGGGTCCCCTGGCAGGGTGAAATTAGCCACAGGGGTACGGAGAATCCACAAGCTCACAACCAGTCACTACTACGCAAATCCGGAAGTCTCCTCACAGTTACTGTTTTTGAACCAAGTTTCGTCTAATCTGTATTTGTACCTTTGGTTTTTCCTGCCCAGGTGTAAAACCTTGCTTTTCTCCACATTAAATATAATTTTGTTGGATAAGGCCCATTATTCAAGTCTGTCAAG